CCGGTAACATTTTGGCCAACCAAACAACTTTTTGTTAACATTCCCAGAAACTCACTTGCCCATCATATTCCTAGTAATCGTAATTCCTGGATAAAAAAAATTTCTCTCCTGCCAAACGCCCCCTGAGAGTACAATTTTGAGAAGTCCTAAATGGTCATAGCCTTGCACAATTTATCATCTAAACACCTAAACCAATCTATGTAATTGCATTAATGGGACGATATATACAAGCAACATATATGTGCTCCAAACACATAACCGTATTAGTTAAATTCTAATTAGGGCTTAATTGGGCCTCAGTGTCAACTGGATTGCAATCTCTGCATGACAAAGTCTACCAATATAAATTTAATTTGTCAACTAAATCATGTCATATGATTTGTTAAATATCCTTTTGTTAAATTGAAAAGTGAAAATTAGGCTTCTATTTAATTTTCATGTACAAAGGAAAATTAGACAAAAATTTACGTTTGACCTATTAAATTACTTGAACTCACTTTACGAGATTATTATGAAATTTCACTAAAATAATAAAGAGAATTTTTAAAAGATTGTGTCAAATAATAATATGTTACTAAAATTTCTCACTTTATACTTGTTAAGTTTAATACTCACGGAAAAAAACCCACGTCAACGAATTTAGCTAGTGAATTTTAAAATTTTATATATTTGTGTTCATTTACGTGATATAAATGTTACTTATTCAATTTACTTATAAGTATTAGTATATATATATATATATATATATATATATATATATATATATATATATATATATATATATATATATAGAGGCAGGATCCTTTGACACCGGTGTCAAAGGAAAAGTTTGACACCTCATCTGAGAGCCGTTAGATTAAAAAAAATCAATGGTGTCACATGCTTACAAATCAGAATCGTTGATTTTTTTTAATCTAACGGCTCTCAGATGAGGTGTCAAACTTTTTTTTTGACACCAGTGTCAAAGGATCCTGTCTATATATATATATATATATATATATATATATATATATATATATATATATATTGGAAATGTTATACTTACTACTTATTTTTCTTACTATCTCTTACTACCAAATCGTAACCGTTGATTTTTGTCAATCTAACGGTTATAATTTATTGAAAATTAATAATTAATTAATAAGTATGACCCCATACATATAATTGTTAGATTGACAGAAATCAACGGTTAAAACTTAGTAGCAAGAAGTACTAAGAAAAGGAGGTAGTAAGTATAACCTCCTTATAGTTAGAATCTATGTTAATAATCCATTGGTTATGAATAAGAAGTGGGTTAATAAAGAAAAGAGAAAAGGGAAGATGGAGAGGTGTGTGGGTTTTAACAAGTCCCACACTGGACAACTAGTAGGAAGTGATAGAGTTTATAAGCTCCCACCTCACTCTCCTAGATTGGCCCTTGGGTCACTACACATTTTGTGGAGGGGGAGGAGCTAGGTGGGCTTTGGTCCACCACGCGCACCGCCGTCCGGCCGGCTCGACTCAGCTCAATTGTGTGTACAGACACGACGGTTCATTGTGACCGATCAGTGTCTATCGTAAATTTATTGGTTTTTTCTGCACTGAAACTCTGCCGGAATTTTTCTTGCATATTCCTGTTCATACTCCGGTGTAATTTCCTCTGGCATATTGTTGTGTTCGTTTGGGCTGTTGACTGGTAGTGTCGCCACTCTTTAGACGAAATCTGTTCTATCCTGGGAGACAAGTGTCCATCTACCTTAGGCATCAGTGAGGGAGCAAATTGCCTTAAGGAGACACGTTCTGTGGGCTCGGAGGCTCAGATTTATTCCTCTGATATCGTCATCTGTCTGTTTCATCATTCTGTCTCAATTATCTGACAAGTAAGTCTGTTCTTTAATTTTTATAATTGCACAGTGATAATTCTGATCATCTATCTCTTCTGATTTATATATGAGTTCAAGTCTTTTAGTGATTTAATATCACCTACTGTCTTCAATAACACTCATATATATATATATATATATATATATATATATATATATATATATATTAGCTCTAAAGAATTTACTTTATAAAATATAAAGTGATGAAATATTAATATATAAATAATTGTTGTTAATCAGTCCCTATATAATATTTTTTTGCACTATTTTTTTTGCGTGACTTAATTTATCATGTTTCTCTCATTTTTTGATTAAAATGTGTATATTCCTTACATACACTTTTTCCCTTTAGAGTGAGTTTTTTTTATGCTACTTTGTTAATTATTTAAAGAAAAATTTATCTCTCTTTTATTTTTAACAATATTATCTATCTTTCAATTTTTTTTTAATCATATCTATGTCTTATTTAGATACAGATCTTGTTCATAATAAATTATAAAATAAATGAATTTTGTTTTAAAACTATATTTTTAAAAATATATATTCTACTTTAAATACTTATATATTCATAATATGAAATTTCACTATTTACACTTAGATTCTCAATAAATTATGCATAAAAAAATAAAATATTAATAATATATAAAATGTAATATAATTAGGATTTCTTAAAATACCGTGTACTGATAAGGTATATCAATAGTTTAAGTGAAGTCAAAATCAAACCATCAATTTTGAATGTTGAATCAATTGATGTACTTGGAACAAAGTGTCAAAGCCGTGAACTCAAGGAAGAACAAGTGGTTGTGCATGTTTATGGCTGATTAAGCTAATTTGGGACCATGTGTTGGATACTTAATTCCCTTAATTGGGTCCTATATGTCTGTTAACTTTCTATCTTACGGATAATAAAGAGATTAGTGAAAGCACAATAACGGAAAACTAAAAAGTAAAGTTAAATGTATCTTCTTTTACTTAATAGAAACACATAAAATCTTACCGTGTAGATGAAGGTACATTTCCCACATTGACACTATACGTGGTTCAATTATGCTTTATTTTGGTACAGGTTGATCCCTATGTAAATTAGCAAAATGAACAATTCACAATAGCAAAATTGTATGTAAACGTCCTTTTTACTGGTTGATGTGGAAACCTCATATCCAAAATCAAATTCAGACTGCACCACACACCTTCACTGGTCCTCTCTGTCAACTTTTAGTGTAAGATGCTGCAGTTTGAAAGAGGCTGTAATTTAGTGCTGCGTCTATTTTTCTCTCTCTTTCTTGCATAGCCAAGTCTCACACTTGTCATGAATTGCCTTGTAACATAAGCCCAAATTAGACACTTTGTTAATGGTATCCAAATCTTGAACACAATTGGTCCTTTACCATTTTATATATATTGCACTACCAAATTGATTCATGGTTGACTTCTCTTGTATGGTAAAAGGTTAAGCACATTTGACACGTTCAGCTAAACCATAGACTAGATGGGTTGCAAAATGCATACCAAGATGTTTGGTCTTTGTTTTAAGAGATAACAATATTGTTTACTGCCGCACCTTGTTTATTCTATTATGTGATGCATATTTATATTGTGTAGAAACTTGTGCATAGGAACAACGAGATACAAAGGGGAAGAGAGGGTTGGAAGTGAATATTTATAATGTATAGAGGAGCATGTACTGTAGGCCATTTTGGAAGGGAGTTGGCAATAGCTAAGGTGAGAGGAGTAGTGGCTATGTGGCATGTAGATGGACATATATATACGGTAGGGAAAAGGACAAAGAAGACCAGCTCTTGTGGGGTAATAACAACAGGCTTAGCTTGGGTTTTCAGCCCTCATCACATAACAGCCATCAGATAGGGGTTGGGCTGAAACTGATGCAAGGGATAATGGCTGATGAGAAAGAGAGCTTCATCCTAATGCATGATACCTGTTGGTGGGTTAGGTAGCAAACCCTGCCCCTCCTCATTGGACCCATCCCCTAGATTCCTGCCCCTTCTCCCTTTCCTTCCCTCTCTCCATCCCCTCAGAAAAAACACAATCCATTTTGGACTTAAAGTTATAGCCAACTCACTTCTCTTTTTTCTTAAGCAACCCCTTTCTTCACAAAATTAACACAACATTGAAATATCACCTCACCATGTAAAGTTTCTTTTCCTAAGAAAACCTCCATCCATCTTTCCCTTTCAGTGATATAACCTTTAGCCCCATCTAATGTCTTTTCTTTATGACTTTATTAATAAATCATCATGAACGTTTCCTCTGAAGTCCCCCACTCCACATTAAAGAATCATAATATCTGAATCTCCATTTTCTGCTGGCCTTTAACAACGGAATCAAAGACATAAAAAGCTTCCAGCTGCATTCCCAAATTGCCAATTCCATCATTATATTTAAAGACAACTGTCTTTGTAAAGAAGAACCACTCTGCTTGTCTCCTAAGTGACAAACTAGTTTATCATTAGGAAAATAATTACAAGAGCTTACACATGCATTGGAATATTAGACAAGCTGAGGCAGAGAAGCAAGCCTTCCTTTTCCACTTTCTAAACACAATTCCTTTTTCTTTATTCTTTTGCTATACACTTAACTTTATTTTAACATCCAATTACCTGCATTTTTTTTTTCTACAAATGCTTAAGGAATTCTTTTTCCTTTTTATGTACGTAAAATAAAGGCAAAAGTATTTTTGCCTGGCAGAAATATTTTATCTGCTACAGACACATTTTATCAAGATCTGATATCAAATCTTGATATATATATTTTTGTAAAATGTCGGTGGATCCTGATGAATATGTATGTGTCTGTGACAAATAAATATTTCTGCCACGGCAGCAGAAAAAATAGAACCCTAAAATAAATTTGAGTTATTTACTTTATTTAGCACTAGTACCTTTTATACAAAAAAAAAAAAACAAAAAAAAACAGTGATATATATGGAAGTTGAGGTCTAGAACTATAGATTCAAACATCCCTCCATGACATTCTCTCTCTTTCTCCCCTCTCCCTCCAAACTTCCTTTTCCTTTCCAAATATTCACATAAGGCAACTAAAACTGATAAGGTATATATATAAGCCATCATTGAGAACAATTTGTACATCCTTTTCAATTGAAGAACTAATTTAGTTTACTCCTAAATATTTATAAAGGATGTTGTGGGGTAAGCCTTAGTCTTTGTCATTCATTCTTTAACAATAGCTCAGTTTAGCCTTTGAACATCTGCAATCTTCTCTTATTCTTTCAAAGTGGCGATCATAACATCATTCAGCTGATCTTGAAGATTTGTGGCAGGCATAAACCAGCAATAAGATGGCTTTCTTCCAAGCAAATTTCATGCTACAAACTCCTCATCGTGATGATCATCAACCTCCACCTTCGGTCAACTCAATTCAACCCCCATATACACCTCAAGATTATCATGGTACTCTCTAAAACCCAGAAACAAACACAAACACACACTGAAATATTCTATGACTAATATGGGGCTTCAAATTTTGATGCAGGTGTAGCATCCTTTCTAGGGAAGAGATCTATGTCATTTTCATCAGGAATTGAAGTTGGAGAAGAAGCTAATGCTGAGGAAGATTTGTCTGATGATGAATCACAGGCAGGGGAGAAGAAGAGAAGGCTTAACATGGAACAGGTGAAGACACTTGAGAAGAGCTTTGAGTTGGGAAATAAGCTTGAGCCAGAGAGGAAAATGCAGCTGGCAAGGGTTCTTGGGTTGCAACCAAGACAGATTTCTATTTGGTTCCAGAACAGGAGGGCTAGGTGGAAGACCAAGCAGTTGGAGAAAGACTATAATCTCCTTAAAAGACAGTATGAAGCTATCAAGTCAGATAATGATGCACTTCAAGCTCAGAACCAAAAACTTCAGGGAGAGGTTTGTACTTTGTAGTTTTCTTCTAACTCATAATCCAATTCCAATCATATGGTGTTTTAGTCGCCTGTTACTTTCACATCATTTCTTTGATTTTGAATTTTTCTTTTTCTTTTCTTATAGAAAAAGGAAGAAAAAAAAAGGAAAAATGATGTAGAACTAGAGACATGTTCAACTTCTGGTATATGAGATTGTTTTGATTGTGTAGAATAAAGAGCTTGGTAATGATGATCCTTTTTTATTTTTCCTAAAGTATTTATGCTTTTTTTGACTTTTGCATAGTTTGCAGAACCGTTCCTTTCACCCATTCTCTAAGCAATAACTTTCTACAAAGCTGCTTTTTCATATCATGTACAGTAACTTCATCAAAATCCAATAATCCCTTCCCACTCCAATGACATGTTTCTCTTGCATAGTTTACATGTTTTGTACATAATCATTTTCACCTTACCATATTCTAACTTCAATGGATTTAATAAAATTATCATATTAACAGTTGTCTTGTGGGCAAGGGAGTGGTGTTTGAGGTCATCTTTTCTGCATATTGTTTGTTGCTAATTTTACAGCTGCTGCTGCTGCTGCAGATATTGGCACTGAAAAGTAGAGAGCCAACTGAATCTATCAACCTAAACAAAGAAACAGAAGGATCATGCAGCAATAGAAGTGAGAACAGCTCAGAGATCAAGTTGGATATCTCAAGGACACCAGCAAATGACAGTCCTCTATCCATACATCAGCCTAGTAGAACCCTCTTTCCATCAACTGCTAGGCCTGCAGGAGTTGCTCAGCTTTTCCAAACTTCTTCAAGGCCTGACATCCAATGCCAAAAGATTGATCAAATGGTCAAAGAAGAAAGCTTAAGCAGCATGTTTTGTGGCATAGATGATCAATCTGGGTTCTGGCCATGGTTGGAGCACCAACATATCAATTGAATCAAAGGGAGAGAGTTAATTTAAAATTGGAATTGTAGTTTTCCTTGTGAAATCAAGAGGGTGTCAATCAATTACCATATTTTGAAAACTTGATGTATAAAATAGGATATATCAAGTATAAGTTTTCTGGTGGGGCTTGAAAATTTTTACATGAATGAATAAAAGGGCTAGTCACTTTTCTTTTTTTATTGGGGTATGAGAAACTTTCAGTGAAACCATTTGTTAAGTGTCTCTGATTGCAGCAATATAATATGAACCATTAAAAATAAGCGGGATTCTCTCTTTACATTTTTTTAAACCAATTATTTTAGCTTGCTTTGGAATCATAACTTTGTATATTGATTAACAAAAATGTTTGCCATTGCTTTGAAGAAAGCCCTTGTAATGATTTATGCTGATCTCATCAATCAGTACCAACAATGAACAAAATCCACCCGAACTTTACATATTATACATAAGCAAAAGGAAAGAGAATCAAACACACATTTCGAGAGGGGAAAAAGACAAGGAGATGAAAGAGTGGAAGAAAACAAAGAGAGTTGGAAATGGTCGTTCTCGTGAATGAGACGTTGTCGATTTTGTTGTTCATGACAAAGTGGAAAAAAAGGGGTATCGTATGAAAATTTTATTTTAGGTACTCACTGTTAAAAACATTTTATTTCAAATTAAATATTATATAATTGTGTACATCGTGTAAAAAATATAGCTATCCTTAAAAAAAAAAATATATATATATATATATATATATATATATAGGGCTCGGTGTTTGTCATTTTAAATTACATAAGTTATGTCATTTTAGGAGAGAGATAGACACAGAAAATGAAAATCATGGGAGAGAGAAAGTGGATAGTTTCTTTTTAATTTAAAATTTAAATAAAAAATTTTATTCTGTGTCTATCTCTCTTTTAGAATGACGTAACTTTATGTCATTTAAAATGACAAATACTTTTTTCATATTATATATATATAGGCAAAATGATTCCTGCAGCTGCTGTACCTACAGCAAGCAAGGATACACGTCCGAATCCTAGGATACTGCAACGGATCCTGAGTTTTTTTTTTTTTTTTTAAAAAAAGCCGTGGGCCCACTTTTCTGTGTCAGCTGTAGATAACACTATCTATGGCTGCTGCAGAAATGTTAAGCCCATATATATATATATATATATATATATATATATATATATATATATATATATATATTTAGGTTTTCGTTTGTCCTTTAACATGACATGGTAAAATTTTTTATACACACAATATTTTGTGGGGCTCGCATTTTTTAAAACAAAAAAAAACTAAGACACAAATCTTAATAACATAATACAATTATTTTCCCTGCAATCGTATTTCATATATTATGAAATGTATATATATTATTAGAACACCCTTTTTCGGGTTTGATAGAAGACTTAATGTGATATCACTGTCACCAACTCTCTAGCATCCAAATCCGATTTTACCCCCACTTTTGGATTCATCTCTCTGTGTCTCTACACGTTCTTTTCCCTCATATGGATAATATGGCAATGATGACAGTGGTCAAAATTGCACTGAAAATTAAGCCAAATTATAAATTGTCACAATCTATTCAGTCAAAATTGCACTCTCTCTACGTCATGCCATGCATAGTAGTAATAGTAGAAAACTTTAGCTCAGATGAATGTGCATGCAGATACAATAAATTTCACTTATTTTAATGTTTATTTACACCTTAGCACAAAGCCTTGTTTTTTTTCCCCCCCTTTAATCTTATCTGTTATTTTCAGAGTTTTGCTTGGACACAGCACGGAGACCATCACATCATCATCATATAGCTATCACAAATTAACGAATCTTGTCACTGTTGTCCATTTCTTCCTTTCCAGCATGCTAGTTGCATCATTTTTCTAATCACTCGTTGTCAATTTGATAGCCGCTACTTCACCTACCCTGAGTTGTTATTTCTTTTCTAGAATGAATGAGTTGTTTCCCAGCTTGCTAAATTTCATGGAACGATGCTTCTCTTCCTCTGTTGTCTCTACCAAATTAATTCCTTGCTGTCTTAATTAGCCAAAATAAAAAGGAAACGCACACATACGCATAAATTTTAAAGAAAAGTGATCAAAAGGAAACACACATATAAATTTTAAAGAAAAGTGATAAATCCATGAGAAGTTGGACTTGACCACGTACAGTTGAGTCTAGTCCAAGTAGTGATTGAAGGATGATTGTAACAGGATCTATTAGTTTGATATTGTGGGATGGAGTTCGCAAGATGATAGAACACGTGTGGGAGAAATATGCTTGTTTGGGACAGATGAGAGTGGATATCTACGAGACACTCCAACGTTCAAGTCAATATTTGAATAATGATTTTAAGTAAATTAGAAGGAGATGATCATATATGGACTTTGAGCCTCTCTTTTATAGTAGTAGCATGACTTGCTTATGCCGCCTTAATATGGCTACATGTATTCTCATTGATGGATTGCGGTGGCTTTACGTGAGCTATGATGCGTAGACTTAGCTGAAATCTCGTACATGTTACTTTATGATTGACTATTAAGGAGATTCAAGAGTCATGAGTTGTTGTAGACCAACTGTGAATTCAGAGGATTGCATGTATTCGCGATGTATGTGTTTCCTTGCTGTTTAAGTCTATATCTTTGGACCTGTTGGGTAATTATTGGATTGGACTCTTTATCTCGTTTAATATGAGTCCAAATCAGTTCCTCACAATCTGTTTCTCATGTTGTTGGCATGAGAAGCAGGATGTAAAATTGTTGTGGGATCATATGTTTGCGGGATTATTTCACATGTGTGGATGTGGTAAAAAGTAAAATTTTAGTGGATTACCTTCTATTTTAGTTGGTAACCGCCACCTCGCCCTTTAGAAGTGGTTGATTAGACTTTGAATTGTTAGTTAATGATAGCAATTTAAAACGTGTCTTAATATGTGTTCCCAATACTTCAAATGTGTAATTGCTTTTAGGGTTTTTACATTTATCGTTTCATTTTCCTTAGTATTATTAATTTTTTGCCCCAAGCGACTTTTCATACATTTTGAGAAGTGATGGAACTTTATCATTTCATTCATAACTTGTGCTTTATCTTTTCATGTCCATTTTCCTCTCTCCAACTATTTCCTTCGAAGAAATCTTTCAAAGTTTCCACTTTTTTCTAGAGGAAACCTTACTTGTTGATTGTATATTGTTTGTGCTTGTACATTCCAGCTTTTGTTGCTCCACATTGATGATGTCATTTGATTTATCTGTTTTCAATACTTGTTGGTTTTACTTTGGCATTCCTTGAATCATGTGTTGATGGATCAATCTGTTTTTCATACTTGTTGGTTTTTCTTTGGCATTCCGTGAATCATGTGTTGATGGATCTATCCTTTCCTTTGAATATGATTTCCTTTCTAGAATGCTTTTTATAAACTTCCTTTATAAAGAAGTTAGTCATTTTGTAGGATCGTTAGACATTTTCCCTTTTGGGATGCCTTTAACTTAGGCATCCCTTATAGGAAAACTTAACTCCTTTTTGCGGGAAGTTTTCCCTTATGAGATGCCTTTAACTTAGGTATTTTATATAGGAAAATTTAACTCCTTTTCAAAATGTTTTTCCTTTTAAGATGCCTTTAACTTAGGTATTTCTTACAAGAAAACTTTTCTTCACAAGATTGCACGTATGCATGATATATGCATTTTCTAACTGTCTGAGTCTTTGTCTTTGGGCCTTTTGGGCTATTATTGGATCAGACCCTTCATCTCATTTAGTATGGGTCCATATTAGTTACAATAACCCTCACATGTAGTTATGGATTTAATTATGAATTAATGATTTTAATCCTAATACTAAAGAATAGTTATAAGAAAAGTAGAAGAAAAAGGAATAAAGTCTCTTTTGAGGAAAAAAGAGTTAAAATGACAGTTAAGGGGTAAAAATGCGGGTAAAAAAAGTTACTCAAAAAGTGAAGGTAAATATGGAAATATTGCCACAAAAATATTGTAAACCAATGTGTATAGTTAGATTGAGAGTTAAGTGAGTGGAGTAGATAAGTGTGTTCCTACATAGTGAGTACATGTCACTTAAAACACCAAAACATTACAAATCCCTCTCATTCTCTCTCGTCTCACCCGCGACTCTCTCTTCTCTAACAGAAGGAAGATTTTCTTCTTCTCTCCTTGCTACCTCACCATTTCTCTTCCTCTTAATCACTCAAGAAGCTTGAACAAACACCCATTCATCTCCATCTTGCTCACATCTTCATGGGTTTTAGTTGGAGTTAAGAGATTTGAAGAAAAAACTCACCCAAGGAACCACCATTTTCGGATTTCTCCATGGATGGTCATGGAAAAAGGTTTTGAAGCTTGAAAACCATCTATCTCAACCTTATTTGAAGTTCCAAAGGTAATGGGATCCAAACCCTTAGTAGTTTCATGAATAATTGCTGATTTTTAGGTTATTTAAAGAGGGTTTTCATGGTTGGAAATTGGAATGGTAGTTGTGAAAATGAACTTAAATATCTTCACAAATTATGTTAAGGGAATGTTCTTGATAGAGAAAAAGCATAGAAACCACCACTTTAACTAATTTGAAATTTTGACTCATGAACAAAGTGTGGGATTTTCATGATTTAAGGCTTAGAGTTGAAATTTTATAATTGTTCTATGTGTGATTATTGATGTAGTGTGGAACCAAGTGAAATATTAGTGGAGAAGCATCCTTGGGATCAAGCCTTTGGAGAAGACATGTATTTTTAATTACTCCAAGTATAGGATAAGTTGTTAAAAAATGAGTTTTCTTACTAATTTAGAGCCGGAACCACTTTAGATAAGTTGTGGGGCGTTCCCTAAAATAGGAAAACCCTAAGAAATCAATATGGAACATTAAGAAATTGATTAAGGCATAAATTAAGTGAATAAACAAAGAGAATGTTTAATGATTGTGATAGATTAGTGATATGCTAATTGTATTCACATTTTTGGAACTAAGTTGTGATCGTGGTTGTGAATCCTTGAACCCGAGATTTATTGAAGGACTTTGCTTGCGAGGTAAGCTTTCGGCCCTTGGGGTTAATCCCCCGTTTATTCCACCAGACTCTGAGGGAGTATGGTACTTTTATATGGTATGTGGATATATATATAAACTGTTATATTTTGCACGTATATGTATGTATGTTTGAGTGCCACAC